GGCTCAGCCTGTAATCCCGCGACTTGGGAGGCTGAGGTGAGTGGATTGCCTGAGCCTGCGTGTTCGAGACCCACCTGGGCAACTTGGGGAGACCTCATCTCCACAGTAATTAAAAAAATCAGCCGGGTGTGGTAGCGCATGCCTGTAATTCCGGCTACTCTAAGGTGGAAGGATTGCTGGAGCCCAGCAGGTTGAGGCTGCGGTGACCGCGAGCGGCCACTGCACTCTAGTCTGGGCGACAGAGTGAGACTCCAACTCAAAAAAAAAAAGGTTATTTGAAACTAAAGTACCCTAACTTGTAATGTTACAACTTATCTTCTGAAATTCAAATTCACTTAGTTGTTAACGCTACCTATATAGTATGGCCTATATGGATTGAATCCAATTTATATTGCAACGTTTTAAAGACCAAAGATAAAGCCAGCCCTTCCTGAGCCATTTCTAATCCTGAATTAGGATCAGGGGGCCAGATCAGGTGAGTAGGTTGGGTGTTCCAATATAGTTATTTGTTTCCTGGCTAAAAACTCCCTCACAGACAGTGCTGTGTGAGCTGGTGCATTGTCGTGATGCAAGATCTCCTTCGAGCCATTTTTACACACACGTTTCTCATGCCAAGATTTTCAGTTAAGATTTTCCTGGGCCAGACTCAGTGGCTCAGTCTATAATCCTGTGCTTTGGGAGGCCGAGGTGAGTGGATTGCCTGAACCCGCGGGTTCGAGACCCGCCTGGGCAACTTGGCGAGACCTCATTTCTACAGTAAATCAAAAAATCAGCCGGGCGTGGTAGTGCGCACCTGTAGTTCCAGCTGCTTGGAAGGCTGAGGCGGAAGGATCGCCGGAGCCCAGCAGGTCGAGGCTGCCGTGGCTGGGAGTGGCCACTGCACCCCAGTCTGGACGACAGAGTGAGACTCCAACTCAAAAAAAAAAAAAAGATTTTCCTGTTTCTCTGTCAATGTTTAATTGGTCTGCCATGCTTCTCACAGTCAGCTGGTGATTTTGATGCATAATTTGACAAATGTTTGCGATGTTTTCATCAGTTCTGGTCGATACTGGCCTTGACTTCACTTCATCAGTGATGCTTTCTCTCCCTTAAGAAAACCACTTAATCGGCCAGGTGCGGGGGCTCATGCCTATAGTCCCAGCAGTTTGGGAGGCTGAGGTGAGAGGATTGCCTAAACCCATGGGTTCAAGACCAGCCTGGGCAACTTGGCAAGGCCTTGTCTCTAAAATAAATGTTAAAAAATCAGCCAAGTGCAGTGCCACACACTTGTAGTTCTAGCTTCGTGGAAGGCTGAGACGGAAGGATCACCTGAGCCCAGCAGGTCGAGGCTGCAGTAGCCATGAGCGTGCCACTGCACCCCAGGCTAGGTGACAGTGAGACTCCAACTTGAAAAGAATTAAAAAAAAAAAAAAGAAAAGCATTTAATCCATTTGTACGCTGCCATTTTCTTTTTTTTTTTTTTTTGAGT